CCAGTATCATATGTAAGAGCGTTAGTACAAGTACTGCTAACGTTCATATTAAAATAATTTGATGCCAGTAATACTAATGATGTGGTTCTGCATCCATGCACTACATGTGCTTGATTACCGTAGAGCCGTGTTCTGCTTAAATGGTCCCCTAGGCGATTAGAAGTAATGGGACTGTGCATTACGCCGTTTCTGTTCGGTATCAAAAGGAAAAGTCTAATACTAGTGTTACTAGAAGAAGTTCACTGTATTATTTTTAGTACTCTGTGTTTATGGTACTAGTGTATACGTAGTTCTATCACTACTAGTTCTGCTGGCACTTCTACCAATGCTGATATTAGCAGTACTTGTACCTGTAATACTCTAAGAATGATGGTAGTTGTGTTACCGTTAATATCAGAGTAATAGAACACTGATAATGGTACTCATTGCAGTAGCTGTGAAGCTTCAGTGCTCTTACGGTCATTGTCACTGGCAGAACTGTTATAAATGCCAGTCTCAGTATTTACAATTTTGTCATAAATGGCAAAAGTGCTGTAAATGTTTATATCAATACTGACACTAGTATTACTGATATTTGTACCGCTAATTTTTGTCATAATTCTGCCTGTACAGCTATTGCTGTAGTACTACCAGCGTGTTTATGCACTGTCAGTTTAGTAGTTGCGTTTGTGGAGTAGTAGAGCAGTTACTTTACCGTTACTAATAGCACTTTTAGGAGTAGTATTTGTTGTAGTTATAGAAACTGATAAGCAAACTAGATGACATGGCGTTATGACACTGCCTCACTGTTTCTGGATGCCCCTGAGGAAATATGAGGCAAAGTTAGGCTCGATTCGTCTTCTTTGATCTCGTTTATGAATTGTCACTGTGTGCCGTGTATCTTGCATTATTTATTTCACTGTGATGACTGCTGTCTTTTCCTCTTCATTTATCATACATGCTCAGGTCTTGGACGCTTTGAGCTCATAGTCTTTGCTTATACGGTTGTCCGTAGTTGAAACTGTTTGTTTGTAAATCTGTTTGAAACTGCAATGGGTGTTGCTTAATTCGCTGATTCTACAGATCAATAATGAACCTATCTAAGGTTTGTGTTTTAGCAGTTGACCCCATACCCAACCAGAACGTTGCCGGTTAATATCCCGAAACCTCACAACGCGGAACACGATGGAGGGGACAACGGAATACCCCCCGTCCCTCCGTGTACTCCGTGTTCTCCGTTGTTCTGGTCTTCGATGCAGCAGCAGCAGCAGCAGCAGCAGAACCTTCGTGAAAATGTCAGCGCCTCGATTATGCGAGGAACACGTTCAGCGAATGATCAGTTGATGGATGATCAATGATGGTTCCCTGAACGAGCAGTAAAATCAGTAATGACGAAATGTTGTGTAAAACCTAATCACAGTGCTATTCGTATCCACCGCTTCCAGCAGAGACCATCTGTTTATGATCTGTTTTGAAGTTTTAGTGGTTTTTTGTATAAAAAATAAATATGCCTTGGAAATAAATATTATCCTGTATTTAATTGGTGTTTGGTTTACTGTTTGCCGAATACGTCAGTTCTGTTTACTGAATTTAATGGCTGCAACATTTAATTACTTGTCGTACCAGTTAATAAACGGTAATGAATCCAGATGAACATTCGTATGTATCTGCTTTTGTTTTCGCACTCATCTTTAGAGTTAGGTGTTCAGTCTTCCTTGCCTCTAGAGAGATAGGGCAACACTGGAACAGCATTCAGCAAATGCATGCTCGACAATTGAAGCAATGCTCATTTTGCTCTCGCAGATTATCTAAAATGTCGCCACGGATCGAGTGTATTACTGCGTCTTTATCTGACTGAATCAAGCATTGAGCAACAACGCTAATTGTGACGGGGCAGCCGGTTAGAACCGGAAAAGGCGCACATTAGAAACGGAAAGAAAACAACTATTGTCCAAGGCTCATACTACTTATAAGCAATGCTTTCATAGTTGTGTTGAATGAATCAGTGAGCATGATCAGCTTTCTACCTTTACACTTGACCTTGAGCCTTTGTTATCCTGTATATTTAGAAACTGCCTTCTAGAACGTCGATGGCTAGAAGAATCTGATGCCAGCTTTAATACGACTGTTCCTGTCGCTGCTGTACTACAAGTGACTGTGAGTGTCGATGTTTCTGCCGATATACTGAGCAGTGAAGGGTTGTTAAATAAGGGGAAAGTTGTCCGCGTTTTTCTATGCTTTTTACTCATTTCATCTATGAAAGAGCCTTACTATTCGACGCGTGATCGTAGAAATTGACAGAAACAGGAGAATGGCAAGGCAAATAACCACTGGAAGGACTGGATGATTTTGCAACAGATAGTAACTGAACGACCACTCAGCAGACAAACAGGCCAGAAGAATTGTGTGTAATTATTTCAGATTGGGTACGTTTTTGCGCTCTAGTATGTCTATATACCTTCCACAACTTCATCCTTTAAAGATAATATTCTCTCCCTCAGGCTTTTCAGGCGACCTTCGTAAAGTGCTACAGTGCTTTTATATCCGCATAAGCTCATGCTTCCCATTTGACTCCCTCGTAATTTATGGCTCGAAGTATTTGCACGGCAGTCCGTCTTTCGCATCGAATGGTGCCAGCAAGATGATAGTTACTGGTTGATTTCAAAGAATGTCTCAGCGATTCAAGAGAGTTTTTGAAATAGAACTGAAGCAGGCGGTATCTGGAAAGTCCACCGACTCGAAAATTCACCGATCCGCAATTCGTCGAAAGGAAACTTCACCGATTTTACAACTGATTGTCGATGATCATAAATCATTATTATTAGAAATAACGCATTTGAAAGATTATGTCAATGTGCAGAATAAGTAACATGATATTACCTACTCATATAGAAACAAATTTTATCAAATACATTTATTTAGAAATAGCATATTTGTAAGGTTTAGTTGATGAGCACAATAATCACCATACTTCACCCCTATATAAAGCATCAAAAAATTCA